GTAGGTACGCCGCAGGACCATAAATCAGGCTTAAGAATAACAATCTGAGCCTGTCAGTGGCAAAAACAAACACTTTTAGATGATGCACAATTGCCTGATAATGTTACTTTGCAGCCTGTTTCACAGCTCAATACTGGACCAAATTAAAAGCTGTGGTTCCCATTGGTGACTTAGAAGCAACAACATGTGCAAACAGGGTCCAGGATGAAAAATAGAACTTTCTCTTTAAGATGCTGAGCTGCAGCCTTGCATGTTGTTACCATTTGTGAATTATCTACAGCGACTATTTCTTTATTCCGGGAAGTTTTTATTTGTATAGACAGCATCATTATTAACAACTGGATAAAGTCTGCATAAGATGTCACATTATATTTTCGGACACTAAAACAGACTTGTTTCTTGGAACTCCTAATTGAGAGCAGTGTGTTTTGCATTTGGAGGGTTTTTGTTTTGTTTTCATGAGTGGATGTTGCTCCAGTAAGAGGAGGTTTTAAAAAGAAAAAAAACTGGAAAGAAACACTTTATTGGTGTGAAAAGGTCCTTAGAAACCCCAAAACACTTTCCCCCGGGACAAATAAAAGCTCTCGGGTCAAGGCCGTATTTCACATGCTGAAAGTGTTCCACGTCGGGGAAGGCCGAGCCACTTTCATTACCACTTGAGTGTTTTGCCAATATGGCAGCTTTAAACTCGCACATCAAACATGCAGATTGAGTCAGAAGAGACAGAATAATATTATTACAAGTGTGCATTGAAATGACAACATGGGGCCAAATGAGATTTACATGTGCCGACACGTGTTTGAAGGAGGAAAGACTTCAAAGGTCACATCAGACGGGCTGCACCGCGGGATTATTTGGATTATCGATTAACATGTTGGTTATGTTTTGATTATTCAATGAATCATTTTGGCTTTAAAATGCCAGAAAACTGTTAATAATCACAAATGTCACCCCAGATCTCCGTCCAACACCAGTCCAAACCCCAAAGAGAGGAAATAAGTTTTCACATGTAAGCAACCAGAAAATGTTCTTTATGATTAATAGGTTATTAAAAGTCTCTAGGGTTAAAGGGAAACTCAGAACCTTGATTTCTTTATGTCAAAGTCAGTTTTCCAGTGCAAACAGCATGACTCTAGGGATGTTAGTTGGTCCAACACTTTGGTCTAGAAATGAAGAACTATGAAAAGACTGCTGGATGCACTGGCATGAAATTTGGTACAGATGTTCATGGTCCTCAGATGATGAATCCCAGTGACTTTAATGATCCTTTGACTTTTCTTCTACCATCACAGCGACATTATCATGTATTTGTTTTGGGTGAAATGTCTCCACAAAAGGGCGGAGTATCATGAAAATTTGGCATACACCTTTATGTTCCCCCTCAGGATGATTTGTAACATCTTTAATGGTCTCATGATTCTCCAATTAACGCCGTCATCTGGGGCGTATTTTATTGAATTCGTCTCATAATTTGTTTATGAGCAAATACCTGAGATTAATGACGTCCCCATCAACCTCAGATGCACTTTGTGTTTGGTGCTATTTAGCAAATGTTAGCATGATGAAGCTGAAACATCAGCATGTCTCTCGTTGTGAGCACGTTAGCATGCTCACATTAGCCTCACAGAGATGCTAGCTCCCAACTGGTCCAGCCACGGGGTCCAGACCTGTCCTCATTAGCTCACGGCCAAGATAGTTTAATATATTCAGCGTCATACTTGCGTTTGGCCATGTCGTCGAGCTAGTTTATTGTCTCTTAAGCAGCTGTCCATTAGTCACTCACTCTACAGCAAGAAAGGGCACTTCAAAATAAAAGCTTGGTGCTGGAAATTCACTGCACTTAAAAATAAAGTATGTTTTTTACAGTCTTGACACGTTTGCGAGTCACTTGCGGTTCATTCAGGACAGACCCCTGACCCCGTTTTGGATTCCGACCTATCAGTTGGGAACCACTGACTTAAATGACCCACTTTTGCAGGAGTGGAGGGTGGAGAGAAAGCCAGTCTCCCCATCTCAGTGACTGAGTATTCAGTACTTTTTTAAACTTTCTTTGTCATATTTTTATTGTAACTTTTATTACTTTCCCTTATTTTTATTTTCTCTGAATATGTTTATTGTACGGTTTATCTTTGCACCAAAAACCAAAGCAAATTCCGTGTAAGTGAAAACTTACTTGGCACTAAAACTTACTCTGATTCAGATTTTTACAAGATCTGTAGAAGTCCTTTTAATTATCATTGCTGTGGTATCTTTCAGCCACAAAAGACACATGCGCATGCACAAACAAAACCAGCGCTCTCTTTTGAGCTGTCAGTACAGCTCACTATAATATTTAACAAACAGAGAGAGATTGTATTATGGACTGCGGCGTCTTTTAGTCTAATCACCCGCTACATGGTTGTTCACTGTAGCATGATGTCTGGTTGCGTTTCTCCTAATCTCTATAAACAGAGTCTGCTTGGTGCAGAATCTAGGCGAGGGGACAAGGTTTTGGTATCGTAAGTACTCTGGTTTCTGTTTGTAGTCCGAGCAATATTGACCAATCACATGTGAGTGCAGGTGAACATTCCGTATGGAGAGGCCGAACGCACTGGCCAAAGTGCAATGTAGGAAACTATCGGCTATTGTATTGTCACAAAGGGATAGATTTATATTAGCTGCATTCATATGCAGACGTTTGCTTGCAGAGATTAGCCGAAATGACCTGAACACGGAAGAGGAAGTCTGAGCTCGGATATCTGCTGACTACACCCGATCAACCCGAAATATTTACCTGTCTTGTCTCTGAAGTCAAAAATATTTCCACCCTGCTGATTTAGTCACGAGTAATTAATGTTATCCTCATCATCTTTTTCTTGGCTGCTTGCCATTTTCTGTCTGTCGCTGTTTGATGATGACACAGTATTTCAAAATAAAGGCATACCCTAGAGAACATCCTAACGTTATGGGTCCATTTTTTCCACTGTGCATCGATAATATACCCTGGAAATCCAGAGTTTTCATGAGAGCACAATTTGAATTTGTTCAGCGAGTCACTCTGGCAATCAGTAATGATTACTCATTACCCATGCCGTTGGAGCCGAGCTGCACCAATCACATCGGTGTATCTGATATAGGCGGGCCAGAGGCGAGCTAAACAGATGACGACAGCGCTGCGACGACGAAGTCCAGAATCAGTCAGTAAACATTGCAAGATGGCTACGGATGAACACCAGTTGTTTGAAACGGCTTTGGCCGCTACAATGAACGAGTTAGACTTGGCTTGAACAGAAGAGGAACAGAAGACGGCGCTCGAGTCTTTCCTTTGCAAGAAGGACGTTTTTGCTGTTTTGCCAACCGGATACAGCAAGAGTCTAATCTACCAGTTAGCTCCACTGGTAGCTAAGCTCTGGATACGTCACCCCGTGTATTGTTCTGATTGGTCGTGGTGTTATCCAGTTGCGTGCAGTGATATTTACAAATGCATAATTGGTGCCGCCCTCGAGTTGGGCCATTTGCATTACTCATAGGCAGGCCCTAAATCTTTCTAGATTTGGGTCTGGATTTCCAGGCTATCGATAATACTGGATCGTTGATCATTGAAGTGATACATCGATGAAGATCAATGGATCTTTACACCCCTACGCGCAACCCACATCCAAATGAAGTGGCGTTTTCACTGCAAAGCTAGATTTGTTTTGAATGCAGCCTTGATATTTTTAAACGGTAATAGACTGCACTTGTGAAGCGCTTTTTTTAGTCACTGACCGCACAAAGTCCTTAAACACTACATGTCACATTCACCCATTCACACACTGGTGGTCGAGGCTACCATACAAGGTGCAACCTGCTACTCAGTAACCATTCACACACACCAATGGAACAGCCATCATTTTGTGTCACCAATTTGTGGCTCTACCTTTTGAGCCACAGCCCCTTTTAATCTGTCTTTGTAGAAGTTTAATACTAAATTACCAGAGTGTCCCTTTAATACAAGTCTAATGGGCTTGCACTCATTCAAAGAGATTATTCCTATTTCAATAGCTCTTGCATGAAGCATTATGCTAATGGAAACAGCCTTCTAATATAAAGTAACCTCCCACAGGACGCACAGTAGTAGCAACAGGAAGGGAAGGAGGCACCATTAACAAATAATATCTGATCAATGTAAAAATAGCCGGGATATAGACATCAATTTATGCATGTAAGTTTGTGAGTATTTGTCATTGTATCTTCTGGTGCTCACACACACACACACACACACACACATTTTCTTGGACAAGGTGTGGTCAGTGTGATGAAATAGCGGTTGGGGATGTTGTTTGTTTTCCAAGGAAAACACTCAGTGCTTGCTCTCAGCTGTTATTTTTAAGACTTGTGGTTAAATGTCCACCAGGGCCCTAACTATTTCAATTTTCACCTCTTGAAAAAAAAGCCCACCTAGAAATAGTTGAACAGAGATCTCGACTTGCAGCCATGTTAAATATTTGTTTAAAGCTTTGCTCCAGACCTCAAAAAAAAAAAAATTGAAAAAAAAAAAAAAGCTCTGTGAATTGGTTTTCATGAAATCCACTCTGAAACTGTCATCATCGTCCACTCAAGTGAAATGTCACAAACAATATGTGAACTGTTAAGTGACAAAGAGACAAATGAACACAAACGTTACCGGGGGAATATTGAATCACCGCCTGTGTGTTTTTATCATCGACTGTCCTGCGTTCCAGGAAGAAAACATGTCAGAAAGCTTAGAGGCGGTGTAGCGCTGCTCGCTAACATGCTCCTTATAAAGCCTGTCCTAAGATAACATGTTCTGCAGGAGGGAAACGTGGAGGCTCAGCAGTCATGCTGTGACAGGCCAAATCCATCCCAGGTCAGAATGCCTCAACTATCTGAGTCTCCTTACAAACCAGAGCAGAGCATCCATCAAGACGACAGTTTAGTTTCCAAATCACTTGTATACTTTACTCTAAATACCAAGCAGACAGAGTCAAACAGGGAGGCGAAGAAATGAAGAAACTCACGTCGGTGTTACAAGATCTGTAACGCTTCCTCTCCCCGAGACAGTACTTCCCTCCTCCAGACGGGCTGAGAGACACAGGACAGTTGAATGAGTGTGGAACAGAAGAGTGAGAGGACATCTTCAACACATCAAGCACCATAAATCACAAATTCTTTCACGACATCATCTTCGGTGATGTAAGTGAGCACATTTTGGTGAATGCAGGTCATGAAACAGGCCTCGAAAAAGTCTCTGCCAGAAGACAAAGTGTGTTTGTGTGTCTGCATTTGCTGCTTTGCTGAGTGTGTGTGCCAATGATTCATTCATGAAATCCAAGCTGCTCTAGGAGCTCTTAAGTGTGACATGACATTTAGATTTGGGAGAGAGACTGAGGTCTGTAACCTCAGAGTGATTCACTACATCTACTACATCTACTACATCTGTGAGAGGGTTTGTTTTTCTTCTCTTATCATGTCTGTCCTTCTTCTCACCTTCATTAGCCTCCCTTTCCTTCACTTCATTTGCGAAAAAACTGCGAGAGAGGCCGTGTAATGAATGCGTTAGAGGCTGTGTTTTCTCTGCCTCCCTCCTCTTTGCACTGATGCCTGAGTGGCAGCGATCACCTTACACAGGTGTTCCACATTATGCCGGTGCCTTCTCCTCTTCCCCCCTCTTTTTTCCCCCTCCTTCCCTCTGCTTCACCCTGGCTCTCTCCTGTGTCTTCCCCTGACGTGTCTGACGTAATATCCAGCTTCCAAAACAAAGGAATGCAACGATGGAAGAAGGACAAACTTCTACTTGCCAAAGACAAAGATGCGCTGGACGGTGATTTGTCTCGTGAGGACACACGAGAGGCCTTAAAACAAAAACTGCACAGCACTGTAATCTACAGAAGAGAATGAGCTGTGTCTTAACTGATTGCACATGCTACATCAGTCCATCTCAAACAGCATGAGGACATACTTCTGTGCTTAGTTACATTAGAAGATAGTGCTGTCCAGGACAACCTTGAATGAACCCTCTTCTGGCGTCTTGTTACAGCGGGACTAGAAGAAACAACACAATCTTCCTGCTTGTTGCTACAGCTGAACTCTGGCTCTGTCTGAAATCACATGCGAACATAATGTTCATAATAGGTATGGCGGAAAATTGAGTATGTAATGAGTCAAATCACACAGTATAAGGAATTTGTGTACGTGAGAAATATCAGGATCTGTACAAGATTAGCGAGAATTTCTGAGTATTCAACATAAGGCAGAATATATACTTCTGCGTTGATTATATATTTATTATTGTTATATTTGTTTGGAAAACATGTTTAGTATAAGACAGTTGTTTTGTTGGTGAACCTTGTGAGTTGTAAATGGAGCCGAATTTTGTAACGTTACCTTTGTTAAATGTTGCTGTTGTCCCTGGTTTTACATGAGAAGAGGAAAAGTCCACCAGCCACTAAGCTAATTTATACAATGTAAAATGCCAAAGGCTTGTGCTAATAACGTTAGCATGGTGTATTTGTTTGGAAAACGTGTTTAGTATAAGACAGTTGTTTTGTCAGTGAACCTTGTGAGCTGTAATGGAGCTGAATTTTGGAACGTTACCTTTGTTAAATGTTGCTGTTGTCCTTGGTTTTATATGAGAAGAGGAAAAGTCCGCTAGCTGCTAGGCTAATTTATACAATGTAAAATGCCATAGGCTTGTGCTAATAACGTTAGCATGTTGTATTTGTGGGGAAAATGTGTCCAGATAAAGACAAGTGTTTGTCTGTGAATGCTGCGAGTTATAGTGAAGCTGATTTGTGTACTTGTGTTTGAAATTGTCTCTATTAAGCCATGTTTTGTGTGTGTTTAATGTGTGTTTAATGTGTGTTTAACATGTGTTTTGAATCAACTAAACTTTACAGCACTTCACAGAAACCTCTGCCACCGACTAGTGTTTTGGAGTCGTAACTGCAGAGTGACACAGACACAACACCGCACAAGTATAAATGCTCACAACGGCGTTGGCCACATGCGTAGGGTCTGCGTCCTTAAGCTTGCTCCACCCCAATATACATGTGTCTCTGTCCGATGGTGGACTGCGAGGCTGACAGCTCTGGCACCAGCCCGCAACAGAACACATATAAATTTGAAAAACAAGTGTGCTGACATGAATGGTACTGTAGAAAAAAATACTTAACACGAATAATAATTTCAATTTACCTTAAAATAATACTGGGAAATACTACATTAAATGTGTTTTCTTGTTTTCTACCTTCAAAACGTTCCTGGACAAAGCGCACAGGTGAGGTCGGGACTTTATAAAAAGGTAGCAACAAAAATCGCAGACACAGCCCCCCACCTCAGATCCATCCAGGCTTTTCTCTTTCCTCAGATTTAGATTTTAAATGGTTTAAATAACTAATAAAGATGATGGTGAGCAGGAAATCCAGGCTTCAAATTGGCCCTTTAAAAGCCTATGTGATGTTAGAGACACTGGTTGTAGCAGGAAAACTCTTGAGAGTACTAAAGCTGAGTAAGTGTGTGTTTTAAGGAAGAGTGTGGTGTTTCTTCTTACAAAAGGTACAGCAGTCTCACTCTGAAGACCTCATGAAATGGTCACCACTTCCAGAGAAATAATGCTTCCTCTGTGGTGACCTCATGCTGCACTGAAAACTCCCATCAATACATTATCAATACCCGTTCTATCTAGTGCCTCTTTTTGCTCCATAGTCCATCTGTTTATACTTATGGTTGACCACTTACTGAGCTGTTTCAACAGGAAAACATGACATTTAAGAAGTATTGATCCCATCTGATGAGATCTTTAAAGCTCTATGTGATCTGGAAACACGCTGAATGATAACAAGATGGCTTTTTAAAATAATTTTGGTTCAATATAAACAATAAAATCATCACTTCCTGTTTGGTTTTACAGTTTTGCCGATCACAAAACGCTAGCAAAAATTATAATCTATTATTTGAACGAAAAAGTCATCACTTTGAGCTTTAAATGAAGAGCTATGGAGACTCGAAGACGACTAACTTGCTACAGACTAATCATCTCTACTCCCACTTGAGTGTAACATATATCAACACAGCATCCACATGTGCACACACACACAAACACACACCTGTAGGCAGGACCTGGATGTGTGTGTTCAGCTTGCTGTGGCTTACTTTGCCTACTTACGCTGGGCTGTCACAGTGCCTCATGGAGGAGGACACACCGCCCCCACAGGTCCTGCTGCACTCCCCCCACGTCGACCAGGGCCCCCAGCCTCCATCCACGCTCTGAGGCCAGGTGCCGAACGCCACGCACTCCCCCTGGTAGCACCACTGGCCCGGGGAGGAGCAGAAACACAGACGGGAGAGAGAAACAGAGGAGGACTCTGATTATTTCTGTACAACAGAAACACTGCGACACATTAACGATTGTTTCAGAGTCATCAGTTTAGACTCACAATACCATTAATACAACACAGAATATTTTAGTGTCAGCTTTACAGTTTTTAAACAGTTTTGAGCTCACAATAAATTCATGTGCATCTGTGTACAGTGAAAAGTAGACTATACAGAAGCTGAGTGATGAAGTTTTCCTTCAATAACACGTTCACTCTCCCTCTGTCTCGCTTTAAACACACACACACTCACACAAACACCTCACGCACACTACTTGTGATCCCACGATCACTTACCCTATAATTTAATTTCCGCATTAGTCCTGTTATTTCTCCTCTCCTCACCTGACATTTTACGTTTTGTTATTGCTGTCCTGGTTTCCTCCTCGTCTTATCCTACATTATTATTTTTCTTCCCTGCGTTTTTGTTCAGGTGACCTAATTCAGTTTCCATTTGTTTTATCATTAAAAGAATAGACTGACATTTTGGGGGATATGTGTTTGCTTTTCCCAGAGTGAAAGGAGAGGACTGATATTGATTTAACGTCTGTCATTAGAGCGAGAATAAGAACACAACTGTCCTCTTACGAATGAAATGTTAAATTTATAAGCAATTAAATGCACATTTACTCAGTTCAGTACACTCAGAGAAGTTTCTGCTGCAGCCTTTCTTAGTCTGGTGCGACCACTAGCTCATGGTGGCTAAAATTAGCAAACTTTAGGTAAATATTGCTGTTTTATGGACATTACTGAGTCACTTCACTGACTTTATGATTCTTCTCCTTTTGTGCTGCTGTTACAGGTGGTGCATTGTTCCTTATTTGACACTTGTAGCTGTTTTTAAGTAGGTTGGTAATGACACAGTCATTGCGTAGCTTGGCTTAACACGAGGCAAAAGTGTTCGAAATCAAAACTCCACAGATGACTTATTAACATGTTGATTCTTATTTGTTTAATGCACATGTAGACAGAAATGTAGGAACAATGTGTGGTTTTAGGGGGAAGTTAAGTGCTTTGACTATTTCTTAAGGAAACAACAGTGACACTGTGATGTATCCTAAATTCTTCCTCACAGTGAGGTTGCCAGGTTTGATACCATCGTCATCATCGAACAGGGGACAAAACCAAAACCTGAGCTTACCAACAAAATTTAGCAACCTGCGCTAGCTGGAGATGCCACAGGCGTAGATTGTGGGGGGAATTTTAAGAGCACCTTCATTTGTTGATCCCAATAAAAACCTGAAAGTAGCAGAGGACTTTCATTTAAAAAAAACTGCTATTACGTGATCTATAGATGCAAAAATTGCTTCCAGTGTGGTGACAACTTCAAACACGACAGTTGCTATTTGCGATGAAATGGAAAGAAGATCAAGTGCATAATTGGATCAAGAAGTACCACAACATTTCCACCATAAGTTGATGCAGAAGAGGCCCAAATTGGTCAATTAAAAATTTTCCAAAATGCAGAAATTAAGTGTTAATTAAAAGATGCTCAAAATTTCTTTCTGTTTCTTTCAAGAAACAAAACCTATGCCCTTAGGAGACAGTGTGCTTAAGTGCTGGGCGTATGGGTGAGTTGTTGTCTTTATATTTCTGCTCATGTGCAGGCTGAACAGATAAGATACATCATGTGAGGAAGATTTTCAAGCATGATTTTAAACTGTGGACAGAGCCTAGCTAGCTGTTTCCCCCTGCTTCCAGTCATTATGCTAAGCTAGGCTAACCATGTCTTTATTCCAGCTCTGTATATGTACAACTTGTTAACATTAAAGTGACACATGGTCATGTTGGTTAGATGCTTAGGGCTAATATGTTTGGAATACTAAATTCAAAGACGATGTGGAGACCATAGACTGTATAAAAAAATCGACATAGCTACGATGAGGCATAACCTCGCTGACAGAGATAATTATGATGTTAGTTAATATCTAAGGCAGGGAGGGAAGCATTTTTGTTCGAGTGGTCAGCTGAGCTTGGATGTTAATAAAGCAATAGAGGAAGCAAATAAAAGAAATTCCAAAAATGTTGTACTGTTAGTTTAATGTGTGCATTTTCTTAGTCTGTCAGTCTCACCAAATGTGTTCTCTTTGAAACACAGTCTTAACTGAAACCATTATCTTATCAAAGCTTAATCAACACAACAGCTTCTTCTTCACATTTGCATGTTTGTGTTTTCTTGTTTAATGTTCCCAGTGTGCTGTGAGATGCTTTCAGAGGCGGGTGAGAGGCGGAAATCACCGTGCTGTGTTTCAGGAGTGTTTTAAGCCTCGTGCTAAGCTGCAGAGGGAAGAGGGGATCAGAGACAGCCCTTTGTCTCTCCAACTGTGTCAGTGGGTTAAGAACCCAGAGAGACTGGGACAGTCAAGGTGAGGGCTACGTTGGGCCACTGTCCTCCTTCTCTGACTTACTCATTCACGTCCTGAGACGCTGTCCAAACAAGATTAGCAGAGGGGGAGAGAGGAGAGAGAGGTGGGGAGAAGGGAGACTGAATGTCAGAGACTCAGGGGGGAGAGAGATGAAGTCTGCTTTCCACAGTAACCTTGGAGTCTATATCTGTGAGTCGACGCAGAAAAAACTCCCCTCTGTTGGTCAGTTTCTGTCCCTCTCCCGCCTCCCTCTGTCCTCTCCCCCAGCCTCTCTCCCTGCTCCTGTTGGAAGGGCCTCCCTCCATTACACGCTGGGTGAGAAATGGCTGACATTCATATTCCTTTGAAGCTGTCCCCCGGCAGGGGCAGACAGGGTATGCCACTGGCTCTCCTAAAGCTGCTCCAAAAGCTGTTCCAAAGCCCCCCTGGCTCAACCTGGGGCCCCCTGTGTTGTCCAGGACCCTGTCCATGGGCCCCGGTCCTCAAAGGCTCCACTGAGCTAATGGTAATCACGGGTGACAGCTCGTGACACTCTCCTATTCTTCCCTTTTAGACCTCGGACCATCCGGTGACAATGGCTGCCGTAATCCGTGTTAAAACTGTCTCCCCTAACCTGGCTGGCATCAACAGAGGGCTGATGACCTAAAGCCTGGCCTGCTTGCGTGTGTGTGTGTGTGTGTGTGTGTGTGTATTGCATGAGTGCACACTCAGGGAATGCTACGCCTTCCCAGAGAGGAATAGATGCAGGTCGAGGCAGTGAGGTATCACTAGCTGCTGAGGCTAACTGCAGCACACAGAGGAGGTAGTGAAGGGCTCATTTCACACAACCAGGTTCAGAACTGATTAAGGCTGCAACTGTTAAAGGAAAAAAATAATTTTCTCATGTACCTTTACTGGAGTCATGCAGATAGTTTTGTTGACATTTTATTTTTGAGATTTCTACCTCGACCAAAATATAATGGAGGTGAATGGAATTTCATTTGTGGTCCTCATTGCATTGATACATCAGCAACATGTCTTCCCGGAAACAAAGTCTCAGGGTATCTAATGGGGATGGTTTCTCTTGTAAAAATTATTAATTAGGATTATTCAGAGGAAATAATTTTGGAAAAACTGGGATAAACCTTTTATTTTTAACAGGCTAACGGAGGCTAAGTAAATCACACATGCTGTAGCTTTCGTATCGAGTTTAACTTTCGCTAACACTGGCACATACATTCACACCGTAGACAGTTACAACCGTCTTGAAGGGGCTAACGTGAGCTGGAGAGTCCAAAATGCAGACAGCTATCACATTAGCCATGTAACACCTTATGGATCCAACTAGCCAGTTAGCTTAGTTGGCTAACAGGGCTGACCAAATACTAATAGATTTTGTTTCTAGAAATACACAACAAAGAAAATACTTTTGAGGACACAGTGAAATAAAAAAACAATTTCCAAGTTCTAAGCCAGTGCCCCTGTGTCATTTGTTATCTCTTGTTACACCCAAAATATATGTCCTCTATGAGACATTCAGGGCAAATCTATGATTCAGAGTATACACACAGTTCTCAACATGGAGGTGGCCAAGCCGGCGGCTAGCAGCTTGGTAACAGCCTGAACAGTGCTAAGGGCCTGTGTCCATATAGCACTTTTTTTTTGTTTGTTTGTTGTTGTTTGTTGTTGAGGCCGCTCCAAGCGCTTTAAATTGAAAATCTCTGAACTTTTCAGAAAGGCGCAGGTGACGTCGCTGCCGCTTCTTTAGCTAGGCTACTGTCTACTGTTATCACTGTTTGCTTTGTAAGCTTGAGGTTGGTCGTGCAGTCAATCCTCTGTTGATGTAGCATTTTGTTAGCTACCTGGCTAATGTTAATGGCACAGGCCCTAACAACGACAACTGTGCTGACAGAGCTAAAGATGCTAACCATGAGGAACTGGAAAGTGGGTGCTACTCTTCTGCGATGATGCCATTGCATTTGTCAGTGGTAACCGCAGTATGGATGCAGTGCAGAGCATCAGCGATTAGCTAGCCAGTACGATACACACAGGAACTACATGCACACATGGCCAGACAGAAAAGCTCGGATTACAACACACACAGAGGTAGCATGACTTCCTTCTCTGCTGAGGACGCCATTTATCCACTAGCCTATATCTTAAATAGCAAATAATGGTTTTCTGCTGTATTAATGCCCTGAATGTAGCGCATAAAAGATTTAAGAATTTTAATATCAGAATCCCCTCTTTAAACTTTTCTTGATGACTCATCTTGAGCTTGGTTACGTGTACAGACACGTCTCCACGCAAATCTGATTCACGGCAACTGGCTAACTGTTCATCGTGTAAAAGCAGACTGTTAGCTTGAGGGACGTAGTAGCTAGCAGAGATGTCATGGGTCAGAGGTGTGTGTCTGGATGTGGTCGAGGTCTAATTTATTTATTTCTGACAATATAGGTGAGGGGGTGAGGGTGGCAGAATACTCAGAGGATATTTTTAAACCTCGCTTATCTTTAGATACCTCTAAGATTAAGTGAGAAAATCTGTTTTTGGTGGTTATTTAGGTGAACCTTTAAATGTGTGAGAAACATTAGATGACTTACCCCTTTCTCGATGCTGCCCGTCTGGCACAGAGTCCCCTCTGCAGCAGGGATACTGTTGGTTACACAGCGGTTGCTTTTGCTAAGGCACCAGAGCTCTCTACACACTTCCTAGGAAAGAAGGCAAAAGCAAGTTGGTCAGAATAAATCAATTCAGCAGACTTGGAGGGGGGGGTCGTTGAATAGGGGTGAGGATGATTTATCAGTCGCCTTTGGTGGTTTTCCTCTTAGTGTTTTTCTTCTCCGCTCCAAATGGAAAAATCATCTATAAATCTGCATGATTCCAGATCAAATCAGAGGATGAGCGGAGTTGATGAGACCACATTAAGGCTGCTGAGAGGCATCTAACTTTAAGAGCCCATATGCTTTGGATCACAGAGCATCTTGAGCAACACGCCAAGGGTCACCGGGTGCTGTTAATGCTCTCTTATGAGAAATGAAGAGTCAGCTGGATCAACACCATGACTAACGTTTGCTCACGTTCACCTCAGGACCACAAGGGACCGTGACATCAGTTCAAGAAATCCAATTTCTGCTTCTTAGGGGAAATCAAGAGTGAGCAATAGGCCTCCCAAGTCTTAGATAAAGACGACTTGTAGGCCTAACAAATATCTTTAGTATTACTGAGTGGTCTGAATAAACATCATTTCTTCTCCTCGCTCCTCGAGTCTGGAGCATGAGGAGAATCCATTTAGATTACTGAAGGAAGGGAGTGTGTGTGAGGGGGAGATAGTGGGCAGACAGCACTAAGTTGCCCCCAAATAAATAAAACCATAAAGTGAACACATGTTACAAGGACAGCTCTGCACAACCTTGCATTAGATTTCCCGTTAAAGCGAACTGGGTCGCCCCTGAGTCTCCACTTCAAAGGCCTTTTACAGGACAATTGTGTACGGCAGAAGAGCAGGCCCATGAAAAAGAGTTATGATCCCGCGCATAGATTCTGACCCCCGGGGTCAGTAAATATGCCACGGCCCTGCAGCTCCCTGAGCCTATCCAGATTAAATAAAGCGGCAAACTGCCACTCTCTGGTTGCAGCGGCTCCCCTCTGCCAGCTGGTTTCAATAAGCCGCCCCGCTGCTCCATTCACTATCTGGGCCCTGCTAAAAGGTCAGCGGCCCGGGCTTTAACGAACATGGATGTGGGCCTGATGGATTTACGCTACGAGGGAACAAGCTGGCGATAAAAAAAGGGAAGGGGCGCTCAGTAAAGGCCCTCGCAAATATAGTCATCAAAGGTTGTTTGTTTTTCATACCTTCAGCCTCCAGTGTCACATGTCCCGCCTGTATGTGTTGGTAGCTTTGAGCCCAAACTAACCGAGGAGAAGGAAGGAGTCACTGAAACCAAATTATTGCTATAAATCACCCTTAACTTCCTCTCCTGACGTCTGTGTCACTTTTCCCACCTCTGACACAGTCTCATGCTGTGATTTAAAGCCTCTGAGACCCCCGCAGTTCTTTCAAAGTTTTGAGTTTGGCTGAACTCCCTGAAGGTGTCATTGGTCATATGCAGTGAAATATTGCTGTTGTATTGCTATAAAGCAGTGGTTCACGACCTCTGTTGGTGACGACCTCTGAATACGAAGCAATATATAATTTGGTTTGTTCTCATTTAGTTTATTTTCCTGTCTTTGATTGGATTAGATTGACTTGATTTGATCCAATGTTGCATCAAAGAGCCCAATCACAGCCCCTAACCCACCCAATAATCAAAAGAGTATCCAGATTCTAGCCCAACATCATATATAAAAAGTTCCCCTCACATAAATTGATGTAATTGTTTTTCAATCTTAATCAGCCTTTACTGTAGAGATACAACAAAATTATAAACTGAAGAGGTAAAATTATAAAAACTAAGAGTTTAAAGGCATGCCAGTGACATTTTTGAGACCGTCTTTACCTTGAGGCACGAGGCTGCTTTGAGCTGTGTTAATATCTGAGGTTGGGTGTTCAAAGATAATATTAAAATACTGAGCAGTGCTTGATCTGCTTTTGATCAGCCATCACAAGAGAGGAAAGAACACACATAAAAGCAAGTTATTATCATTATCTGTGATAGTCTGGCGCCCTGTCCAAGGTGAGCCCACCTCTGTCAGCTGGAATAGAGGAAGTGAATCCTTTATTGTGAAATGTTCAGTTGGAAAAAATAGATGAAAACGGCAGAGCAGCATGGTTGTCAGTTGGCGCTGCTGTCTAGCCGACTCAACGTGTAAAGCAGCTTCTGTCATCATTAATTTGTGGTTATTTATATAAGTGAGTTGAGAAAAGACGAAAAGCCACTACAGCAGGTATGACATTTACCATATTCTCCATTCCAGTTTAGCGTGCTAGCATGCTAACATTAGCTTATTAGCACTAAACACCAATAAGAAAGTAGCCTTAAAGGGGACCTCTTGTGCTTTTCCTCATTTTCTGTCATATACATGTAATACAACAGTGTCAGATGTTCATGTTAAACATTGGCAAAGTTTAAAAAAATGAGGTATATTTTTTGTACTTCGGCTACAAGCTAACATTAGCTTGTTACAGATTTCTTTTTGTAACAGGGTCAATTAAATTAAAAATTTGTATCAGTTGTTAATACCTGACATGTTTAGGCCTCCATAGTCAATATGTGGAACGTTTGATACCCAGTTTTTGTACCCCTGCATTCACCTTTGGGGTACCCCACCTATAAAGGGGGTGTCTCCCACCTTATCTCTGCCCTTTTGCTGTTGTACTCCATTGTAGAGGGGCTTGAGTTTATATGGTCGTAATTGACGGAGGATTTTGTTTTTAGCTCTTGCTGTCAGTTGTCAGGAATAAACGGAGATCGCCTCCAAAGATATCTATGGTCTGGGCCTCTGCATATCAACTTCATATCAACTTGACTCCAGTGGTTACATTTATACATTCATCTGCTCCAGGCACGCGACTGCAAGTGTTTACATTGCGTAGCCTAGAAGGCTACATGGTGCTACATGCTAAAGTCAAGGAAACGTAAACTTAGCTGCTGATGTTAATTTCTCCCTGATTTTGGATCAGATTTCTTTGGAACATGTCAGTCTTAATTGTTGATTTTAACAGGAGAAACTACTGTTATACACAGTCATTCCCTGGCTGCAAAAAAAACGCTACATGTAGCTACATGCTAACGCCAGAGATACATGTAGTAATGGTTGCCGATGTTGTTAATTTCTCCCTGATTTCGAAGCGTATTCCTGCTAGAACATGTACTGTATGTCTTTATTGTTGATTTTTAACGGGAGAAAGGGCTGTTATATGCAGTCATTCCCTAGCTGCAAATAAACCGCTACATGTAGCTACATGCTAACATCAGAGAAACATGTAGTAATGGTTGCAAATGTTGTTAATTTCTCCCTGATTTCGAGGCGTATTGCTGCTAAAACATGTATGTCTTTATTGCTGATTTTTAACGGGAGAAAGGGCTGTTATATACAGTCATTCCCTGGCTGCAAATACACTGCTACATGTAGCTACATGCTAACATCAGAGAAACATGGAATAATGGCTGTTGCGTTTGTTAATTTCTCCCTGATTTCCGATCATATTCCTACAACAACATGTAAGCCTTTATTGTTTATTTTTTGCTGCTACACACAGTCATTCCCTAGCTGCAAATACACTGCTACATGTAGCTACATGCTAATGCCAGAGTAACATGTAGTAATGGTTGTCGATGTTGTTAATTTTTTGCCCATTTTGGATCATATTCTTACTGGAGCAGTGAAGATTTTGGTTTAGAAGGTGGTGATTTCTCACAAAAGAAAGCGTTGTTAAACTCTGTTACAATTATTATTACGCTGCAATGACAATGCGGAGATGCCAAGATACAGAAGAAACGCTAACCCATCAGCGCAGACTGATCTTTTTTGGGAGGGGGTCTTGAAAAGAAAGGCGCTAAAACAGAGTGTTTCAGGGAAAGGCTGAATACTTTTGAATTTTTTGATCATTAAAGCACAAAAACATGTTTTAGTAAAGCCCAAAATACAGGTATGAACCTGAAAATGAGCATAATAGGTCCCCTTTAAGTATCACAAGCTGCCCAAAACTACTTTTAACTGTCTAGCATTTCACAAGAAAGAACCAAAAACATATAAAACAGAAGAGTGTAAATAAACCTAATCATCTTGCAGCCCTTTGTAGGCTCCAGCTTCCCTGGTTAGGAACCACTGCTCTACTTTGCTGTTCCCAGTTTAACCCAGTTGAACAGGACACAGTAGGTCATGTGTGGTGGTAAATTTCCATCCTGTCCCGAAGATTAATGAATGTGGTGCAGATTTGTGGCCAGAATTTTAGAGTTTTCTGTGGTTGAAAACACAAATCATCGTGTTATCTTACAGGCTGAGCCAAACATGTTTTACTAGTGAAATATTAAAACTACAATATGACATAATTTATTGTAATGTTGGAGATAAACTTTGATATGCTCTGGCTAAATGTCTCCCCTGTTTCCCATGACTGTTCTGTTGCAGAACGAGATGATAAGAAAATACAACAAAAGTCATCCAAATGTGGAAAAGTTCAACAGCTTGGGCTCCAGAAACCAGACTCTTCCACTCATTAGACCTTTCATCCATTTCTGTGGTCGTCGCAAGGGCATCTCTTTCACAGATGGCCATATGAAATAGATCTGATTGTCAGATGAGAGACTCCAATCTACAGTGCAGCTCTGTTGAATCCGTGCTGGAATCCAATCCGCTCATAAATGTGTGTCTTTCATGCTGATCTGAAACCACAATTATGAGCTTAGGAGCCAAAATAACAGGGCTTGATTTTGGAGCCTGTTATAATCTGCTGTCTTTCAATGAAATGAAATAACTCCGTGATCTCAGCTAATCTCCGTCTGTTTTTTCAGATATTTACGTAATGCAAAACAATATCACGTTATTGTTCATTAAATCTTTGAGGATTCTTTCAACCGCTCATTTTACTGCGCGGTTGTTCCATGTCTTTCACTGCCTGTGTCACTTAATGTACTGAGGTTTTCTCATTACTGATGCGGGGGGGGGGGGGGGGGGGACTCATTATCATCACAGACGAGGGGAGTGTTGAATTAAATCCTTCATCTCTTTGTCCGGGACGTTTATAGATTAAAAGAAGAATAAGGCAACGTGTGGAAAGAAACCTCTAAACCAGCGCAGGTCGTCAGACAATCATAAAACAATTATGTCCCTCACATGTTTCCCCTCTCTTTAATCTCAACTAGGAAATATGAACTTGAAGAAAACTGTTATCATCCCATTAAGGACTGAACAGGCTGTAACTGTACATCAACACCTCTTATGAAACATGTGGAAAACAGAACTTTAACAGAGATTAAAAAGGCGCTTGGTGTTTCGTTCACTTCAGTTATTGTGCATTTGGACAACATATACAAAATGCCTTACAATTAGCCTCACCCTATGAAATTATATTTCAAAATTATATTTTATTCTTGTATTTTATACCTGTCTTATTCTTTTTCAGCTTGTTTCTATTTTCTGTTCACTTGGATCTCCGATGGCAGTTTTTGAATTGCATTTAAATGTAATTTTCCTTCGCAGTTTGTCTTGATGTTTTTGACGTCTTCTGGAGAGCAAATTGCCTTGTTGCTGAAATGTGTACAAAAAAAAATGCAACTTTTTCAGCTTTTACCCTCCTAGCATTTCCAAGTATTGTTGGCGCCACTGTGACAAAGACAACCGAACCGCTTTCTGTTAGCCTAGCAACTACCAGCAATGCAGGACACACTGCATTTTCCACAGTTAGTTTGGTTGTTCCGCCATCTGCCATTTCCTTTACCGGGGATAACAACTGCAAAGAACTTACGCTGATGCAGTTTGGTAACTGGGAAAAGCTACCAACAGCTACCAGGTAAAACAAATGCGCTACCCTCTTCCTGTTTTGGCTACACAATCATTGACACACTTCCTATAAACTGAATATTCATTTCCCCAGGAGACTGTGGCCAAGAGGAGACAGACTTGCATAGTGAAAAGGAGGCTGACGGTTCGTTTATACTTGTGCAAGACACCATGGTCTGGGCTACTGTAGATGGTGCTCAAGCTACAAGCATGCACAGAGTTGTTTATGCTCAGCGTGTCGGTCATTGTAATATGTTCCGAAACCCCGAGGCGGTGTACAAACAAAGTATTCTGTGGATAAGCAAGACGTCAACAAGCGTTACCGGAAGAATGTTACCAGAAAAGAAGGCCAAACATTGCATTTGTCAAAGTTATTCTATACTGCTTTGTTACCCCAGACCCTTTTTTAACTTCAACAGCGATCTTTCGTGTTCTTCCACGCCCTGCAAAAAGGCCCTTCTTTCCACAGTGTGGTGGTGGCTAACTCTTTCCAAGAATTTAAGGCCATTTCGCTGTCCCTGTGGTGTCTCAATGAAGAATCATATAGACTTCCGTACAGCACGCACAGTGGGTGCCAAGTTACACAAAATCAAAGATGCACAAGCAAGCACCGTGGCAACTTTCAAAGCCTTAATGCTCGACAAGGAAAGAGTGATTACGTAACTTTCTGGCCAGGGACACAATGCTGTGACACTAGGTATAAATCCTGCGTTATAGGGAACCAATCAAAAAACAGGTGGTGTCATTATTTTACAGCCACTGTTCCTGAGAGTGCTGACAGAGCTAATGGTGTTAACGTTCGGAGGGACCAGAGAGTGGGTATTGTGCTTCTATCAAAATTGATGACGTTAGTGTGCAATCAACATTTACTTCATTATGATATGTTAGAGCAAAACAAATTATCTAATTCAACTTGAATCTTATTATCAGTCTATAAAATGTTTTTAATGAAATTCCTAAAAGCTAAGGTGACATCTTAAACGTCCAACAACCCCAAACCCAAATTTATTCAATTTTACTATCACATATCACAAAGATGAAGAAATAAAATAAATCTACAGAAAGCGTTTGGCAAAATGATTAATCTAATGTCTAATGATTTGTGATTTTAACAGATTCTCAATGGACATTAAAGATACTGACACCACCATAAAGAGGGAGTTCAGCCGACTGCAGCAGTGTGTTCATGATGTCTGTGTGTTTGGAATATTGCTGCAATAACTTGGATTCTATTCGGATCTGTTAAGATCCAAAAAATGTATTTGTTTACACCTCTACTATCCACTCTCTTTTCGAAGTAAAGTCCAGTCCTTTGTGTGTGATGCTGCTGTGAAAATGTACGACTGCAGTTAAAAGACCTAACAGGGATCTGTGTGGGACAGTGAGAAGAGGACAGGATGAGAGATGCTGGTTTCTTACCCCATACTTGCACTGGCGTGAGGAGGTTCCATACTGGAAGCGACACTGCTCGTCTGCATCGTACACCTGCCCCGGGGCCACTGTTGGGTACAGGAAGTCTCGTTTCAGAGGTTCATTGTCCAGACACGTCCCCCGACCTGAGCTGTCAAAAAAACAAACCTACAATAGGATTGTTTCTTACACAAAGAAACCTTTCTGCACTTGGCTGATGGCAGACTTTGAAACGCCAAGATCAGATGATTAAAGCCTCCCCCCTTGTCTTCTCTTTAAGACCTTGGCCGGTGCTGGTTGACTCATTTAATTTTACCACCAAACTACCGTTGTAGGAAGCTTGTCAGAGATCTCAAATGACATGTAGTTAATGCTGATATCACACATCAACACCTCCTCATCAAAGCCAGTGTTGAGGCTCACGCAGAGACGTTTTACCAGGAGGCAAAGAGGGCCAAGCTGCCTGTATTAAAAGAGTGGTCCTCTCTGATTATATGGCTCCGTGCTCCACTGCTCTCTGTGTCACTGCTTATACTGAGTCCAAAGAAGAGCTAATAAAATAACAGAGCAAGGAAAGGAAGAAGAGAATCTGGAGTGAGCACTAGGTCATATGTCCAGGCCGAGGATTATGTTTAGTCTGTTTTGTCAGATAGAAATATGTGCGCTAACAAAGAACTTGCAACAAAAAAAAAAAAACAAAAAAAAAATACATGCAGCTGTTTTGTACTCTTAAAAATAACAATACAAGAGTGTCTTTTGTTGGTGTTTACTCTGGGTTGATATGCTGAGCTTGTGGATGCTTTCCTTGCCCCAGCTATGAGGGCAGATGCTCATGGAATAAAATTTTCTATTATTCTTTTGACCTTGTGTAAGAAACTAAAATCATACCACAGACCAGCGCCAATAAACAAACAGAGATGCATTTCGTTTTGATGCTCGCTTCTCCCTGAGTCAGAGGATTCTCTCAAGGCAAAATACCAATACGACTATTTACTATTACACTGTGTTCTTTCCAGATGTGGCAGCTGCAACATGCAGAGGAATGCCTCCCATCCCTCGAAAGGAAAAGAGGGCCTGGTGACAATAATGCAGAGCATGGCTTTGTGATTTAGCAGACTGCAGCTCGGGCCTGGAATACAGCAGAGAAAAGATTGGAACTTAAATGAGCTGTACGTGACGTTTAGAGAATTAATAAAGCAGCAAACAACTATCTGTCGGAAAGATAAAGAGGAGTAATGCTGTCCTGAGCAGAGATGTGTTTTAATATCCAAGCTTCTCTGTTTGTTGTTTTGGTAGCTGATGCCATAACAGGAGAGGGGAAGCCGTCACCTGGGATGAGGAACGTTAGGCTGGTGGATGGGTCACACAACACAAGACTTCCCCCAGGAGGCTGGTGTTTGGGTCATTTAAGGTTCATCCTCACCATGTTTCTTTTCCTAAGGTTAATCACAGTATCTTTACTTGCCAAAACCCAAAGATGCCCAACCATGCATCTTTTTATACACATGAATTTGGGGCGACCGCTAGCTCACGTGGTAGAACTGTGTGCCCCATTATAGGCTGAGTCCTCTGCAGTAGCACAGGTTTGATTTTCACCTGCAGCCCTTTGCTGTGTACTTAACAAAAAAAAGAAATAAATTCTATATATTAATTTTACCTGCCTTAACCTAACCCCTCTAACTTTATGTTAAATACATAACTTCACGTTAAGTATGTGATGTCAGTTGCTGGGCGCAAATTCTTAGGACATCATACGAACCGCTGTGTGTGCATTTTTGTAGGATATTATACGGACTGTTACATGAGGATACGTTGAGCTCTGTCAGCACTGTTGCCATTGTTAGAACTGTTCATACTGTTAGCATTTTTACTTCCTAGCCACCGGCTAAGCCACCTCCATGTTGAGAACGGTGTGGAGACAATCTTGGCTGAGACTATGAATCAAAAACCCCTTCTGCACTGCCTGTGCAAGTCGGGAATGTTACGCCGTTATTCCGCCATTCTGTTTAAAAGGTACGAACACAGAATGAGGGGACAGAGCTGTCTCGTCTTTAAGCCAGCTGCGGAGGTAATAACAGCACCAAATCAACATTTGTCTAAAAACTGTGAGCCAGCAGAACTGGATAGGTATGATGTTTTGACGACGCCACCGGGAGATTTAAAAAGCAGCAGGCAGCAGTTAGCAGCTAACTCAATGAAGAAGAACAGAAACTGAAAACATTCGTTGGGAGACAATAGTCCGGGAACTCCTTACCCTCCAAGCCGCCATATAACAGGAACGGTAAATGATTGTTATTGCTATGTTATACCATTGTTATTCTTTATCAAACACTGCTGAAGCTAATGTTATACTTCACACTAGAGGCTGACACTGTTGTGTTACTTGTCACACCTCTTTTGCCTCCAGAACGCCCGTATGCTGTGTAACATTATACATTTGGGCGCCATTTTGTTGGCACTGTTTAGTATGTATAAAAAATCCAAGGCAGCCAATGAAAGGTCTTTGTCGCAGCAGTATTTCGGGATCTCCGTGTAAAAAGGGCTATGGATATGCTCTGAATGAAACATTAAATGACTCATTCACACAAACTACAAAAACACACATTTTTTAATTCCCTCAGGTTATACATAGACAGCCAGCCAGTTTTTAAAGTTTACATCCAAAAGTTTCTAGACACTCTTGCACTCTGACTAATTGGACTCCAGGGGGTACCTCTGCTGTTGCCAGAGTTCATGGAAGGATTGTGGTTTTTTTGCTAATTTGAAGAAATTCAAATTAGCAAAAAAATCCACAATCCTTCCATGAACATTTTTCTTCATTATAATGAACAAATAGTCCCCACAGAAATTGTTGATAATGTGTTCTGTGGGTTATTTGGGGTAATTGGGATAGTTGATAAATGCATTTTTTATGACTGTGAGAACCACAAACAAACATCCAGTCACCTCCACTGTCCTGGTGAGAGGGTTACGGGTGGATATTTTAAAAACTGAGCAAATTGAACCAATGTGCTTGGCTGAACAAACCACGAAAGATATGAGCTCATTATTTGGTTAAACTGGTCCTTTAATGAAAACTACCCAGGCTACACTGAGAAGACAAATGTCTGCCTCTTATCAAACTTCACTCTACCTCAGGACTGTGTTGCACCAACTATTCCTATCGAAGTTCTTACTAACTAGTAGCTTGTTGCAAACTATTAGTTTACTAAATAAGCTTGTTCTTCTACAAGAATAGTATCACATTTTGGCAAATACTCTTGCACGCTTTCTTGACAACAGTTAGATAAGAAGATCAGTACCATTATTATGTCTGTATGTTGAACATGATGCTACAACCAGCAGCCAGTTAGCTTAAGCCTAGTTCACATTACACGATTTTCACAGCGATTTTGACGTCGCAGAGGATCTTGAAAGCCACCTTGGGTCAGAGGTGAGTCGGCAGATAGTCTGTCACGACGAGTCCTCATGTGTGAACAAGCCTACGAGCAAGTCGCCCCCTCGTCTGAGATTGGGACTGGATATCTGGCATGCTAGAAAACTGGAGTCTGGCACAACCAACAAAGAGCATCAGCCAATGAGAGGTGGGATACGTCCCACGTCAGCACGCAGGAGGACGGAAGAAATATGCGGAGGACAAGCCACAGGGTCGCCAGGTCCGCTTATTAGCCGCTACTTTGGGCTTGTTTTTTTGTAAAGTCGCTTACAAATATTGGTGCTCGCAGGTTGCTGACATCGGGAGGGAGCTCAGAGTACAGCCGCTGCTCTTTCGCGTCGAAAGGGGTCAGTTGAGGTGGCTCGTGCATCTGATCAGGATCCTCCTGGGCGCCTCCCGCTGGAGGTGTTCTGGGCACGTTCCACTGGTAGGAGGCCCCGGGGCAGACCCAGAACAAGCTGGAGGCATTACATATCTCGTCTGGCCTGGGAACACCTTGGGGTCCTCCAGGAGGAGCTGGAAAGTGTTGCCGGGGAGAGGGATGTCTGGGGTGCTTTGCTTGGCCTGCTGCCCCCGTGACCCGGCCCCGGATAAGTGGATGAAAATGGATGGATGGATGGATGGATGGGTTGCGGTTTTTGGGCTTATTTCTAAAGTGGAGTTGCTTATTTGGGCTTGCTCTCTAAACGTCGCCTTCCTCTATATACAGTACAGGCCAAAAGTTTGGACACACCTTCTCATTCAATGCGTTTTCTTTATTTTCATGACTATTTACATTGTAGATTCTCACTGAAGGCATCAAAACTATGAATGAACACATGTGGAGTTATGTACTTAACAAAAAAAGGTGAAATAACTGAAAACATGTTTTATATTCTAGTTTCTTCAAAATAGCCACCCTTTGCTCTGATTACTGCTTTGCACACTCTTGGCATTCTCTCCATGAGCTTCAAGAGGTAGTCACCTGAAATGGTTTTCCAACAGTCTTGAAGGAGTTCCCAGAGGTGTTTAGCACTTGTTGGCCCCTTTGCCTTCACTCTGCGGTCCAGCTCACCCCAAACCATCTCGATTGGGTTCAGGTCCGGTGACTGTGGAGGCCAGGTCATCTGCCGCAGCACTCCATCACTCTCCTTCTTGGTCAAATAGCCCTTACACAGCCTGGAGGTGTGTTTGGGGTCATTGTCCTGTTGAAAAATAAATGATCGTCCAACTAAACGCAAACCGGATGGGATGGCATGTCGCTGCAGGATGCTGTGGTAGCCATGCTGGTTCAGTGTGCCTTCAATTTTGAATAAATCCCCAACAGTGTCACCAGCAAAACACCCCCACACCATCACACCTCCTCCTCCATGCTTCACAGTGGGAACCAGGCATGTGGAATCCATCCGTTCACCTTTTCTGCGTCTCACAAAGACACAGCGGTTGGAACCAAAGATCTCAAATTTGGACTCATCAGACCAAAGCACAGATTTCCACTGGTCTAATGTCCATTCCTTGTGTTTCTTGGCCCAAACAAATCTCTTCTGCTTGTTGCCTCTCCTTAGCAGTGGTTTCCTAGCAGCTATTTGACCATGAAGGCCTGATTGGCGCAGTCTCCTCTTAACAGTTGTTCTAGAGATGGGTCTGCTGCTAGAACTCTGTGTGGCATTCATCTGGTCTCTGATCTGAGCTGCTGTTAACTTGCGATTTCTGAGGCTGGTGACTGGGATGAACTT